GTTAGGCATATTTTCCATCAAAAATCAGCTAATATAGTTAAGTTTGCCCCCCCTCTAGCCCATGGCCCCCCCATAATTTTGGCTCAAGCTCCGCCACTGTTGGTGTCCACGGACCGGTACGACAGGCCCTCATAGTTGTGCCCACCGTTGCGCACGCGGATAGGCACCCCGTTTAGGCTACCGCAGTGCACGGCGATCTGCATATGGTGAGCATTCGCCGGCATCACGACGTAGAGCGGCCTCCCGGTGGTATTTGCCAGGAACTTTGGGTTCCTGATGTATTTGTCAAGCTGCGTGTTGAACAAATCCTGGCCCTGCTCGAACACTGAGATGTTAGCCTTTGTGACGCATTGGAGGAAGCCAGCGGGCGACGCTTGGGAACAAGAAGAGATCATGGAGCAGCTGCAGAACAAGAAGGTTAAGGTGAGCAGCAGTGGCGCCGCTAAGTTGAAGCGCTTGGCCATGACGATCGTTGCTACTACTCCTCCCTCCGTCCCCAAATAGATGGCCTATGTAAAAGGCATCAATATATTTAATGACATTAAATATATACTAAAAAATCAATGCATACTAAGTTTATCCGGATATCTATTTAATATTATGAACATGTATCGGATGGCAGCAATTAAATAGATATTTAGATATGGCAATCCCAATGCATATCTAAACAATCCTTAGTTAATGTCTTTTATCAGAGAAAGTTCATCAGACATCTTAGATTTGGCGCCAAGATCCACATTTAGATTAACATATTGTTGATTTTGAGCAAGATACTAATTGCATGTCTATATTAGGAAGAGATCAATTGTATATTAGGTAGGATATTAATTGCATGTTGATAATTGGTAGGATACTAATTGTCCAGCGGATTTTATGGCATGACATTGAGTCTAAACTTGTTTATAACAACTGGCAGTAGTGGGTAATTTTAGCAATACTAGTTAATGTGTTAATTTGGAACTATATTAAATGCATGCGGATATTAAGTAGTATTTTATTTGCATGTTATTATGTGATTAACACTATCTTTGGCATGAAATTAAATGCACGCTAAAC